AAAAAAAAAAGAAGCTCAGACTTACATCTAGGATCTACATAGCTTGAGCTTACGTGTGTGTGTGTGTGTGTGTGTGTGTGTGTGTGTGTGCATGTGTGTGTGTATGTGGCATGCCAAGGCCACTCCTGTGAACCAACTGCTCTCTGTCTGCCAAAGCAGCAACAACCAATACTCAACTATATTCTTTAGTCCCTTAACTAAACTCTTAATAGTAATCAATTTTTTTTAAAAAAAAAAAGTGTTCAACAAAAGGCCACAAGTGGCCAAAACACAGAGAATAAGAGTCTGAAGAATGTGAGTCCTTAGACAGGACTACTATATTGAGGTCCACCCACCCACGGATCAGGGACCACTGCAGAAGAGGGGATGGAAAGATTCTAAGAGCCAGGGAAGAGGTGCATGACCAAATGGAAATAGTCCTACAGGCACCTGGGACCCTTCTCATACAGACCTTCTATAATGGCATCAGCATGCACAAAACTCATGCAAACTTAGGCAAACAAAAACCTAGCACAGAACTGTGGAAATGAACAGCAAGCCCAATCTTAGTTGAAGAATTATTGGCAATTGATTACTGCTGGGTGAGAAAGAGCTGATCTTCTCAAAAGGAGACTCTAGATAATCTGACTAAACCCCGGTGGATGAACTTGCACTGAGGGACATCTTGGGACACTAACTTTCCATAATAAGCCTTAACACAAATAACAGAATGTATGAACTCCAGTGAGGGGGGTGTTATGGGAGGGATACCAGAGGGGAAGGAGGTAAAAGACGATTTTATGTATGAAATACATAAAAATTCAATAAAAATATTTTAAAAGGTGTTCAAACTATCATTCTTGCATTTTAAAAGCCATTAAATTGTGAGAGCATAACCTTCAGTGAACTAGGATTTGATTAATGCCTGTTCTCCAAACTGTATTCCAAATACATGGAAAATCTTGCATGTTGTTTCCAGTTTCCTGGCAAATGTTTGTTGAATGCACAGATAGGTGCATAGGTGTATGATTGGATAGGTAGGTGAAGGGGTGGGTAGGTGGGTGGATGGGTGGGTGGCTAGGTGGAGAGAGGGATGATGGGTAGATAGAAAGATGGATGGGTGGTAGGAGTGATGGATAAGTGGGTAGATGTGTGGGCAGGAAGATACATGAGCCAATGGGAAATGGTAACCTCTAAAGACCTTTCCCAGCTTTAAGTTGCAGGGTTTTGCTCTAAGTTACCACTGCTTGATGATTGAGGACTGTATCAGACCTGAACCTGGGACTCTTCAACCCAGTCTATCTTCCTTGCACCTAGCTAGCTTCAAAGAGCAGTATCACCAACAGATACAGTACAGTGGGGTATGAAGCTGCCTGGCAGCTTGGCTTTCTGCCCATTGCAGAACCAAGGAAAGTCTTTGAAACCAATTAAACATTCCTCTTATAATGAATGACAACAAAACTCTGATGTATGTTCCTCATCAGCCCTTTGCTAGGTGGGAAAAAAGGAAAACCATACTGTCATCATCCAAATCCACTGTCCCTGATGTCTACTCTCCTACTTGGAAAATGTCATCTTCATTCAACAAATCAGTGTTTCAAAAGCTGTATAAGAAATACCCTGGGCAGTTTCCAAAGACCCAGAGACAATAACTTGTGACAGCAAAGTGTTTACAAGAATTCAAGGAGATAAAGAATATTCAAGAATGTAGAATAATGTAATACAAATTGTATTAGTAAGTGCTGAGCCTTTGAAGAATAGCCAGTCAAGGGATAGAATTTGAAAGAATAAAGGCATCTCAGGAGAGAAGATTTCTGAGTTTTGGAGAAGCAAAGAATCAAATGGGAAAATAAACTGGAATCACAGGGCACAGAAAACAAAGTGGTCAGGGTTATGGGTAGCTGTGGATATGACTCGGAAATAGGGAAGAGTCAGTTAGCAATAAAAGTGGCATACATTAAAGGCGCAGAACCAGCTGTGTCAAGGGAAAAGGGACAATATGTTGAGCTGACTTGAGAATGAACAGTAGAATTGAAAACATGCAGCAGAGTATGGGGAAATCTTGGAGGACCACGAAGGTCTCTTAAGCATTCAAATCGATATACTGAGGATCAGAAACCCTAATGTGTGAGAGCAATCACTAAGCCAGCTTTGATGGTTCCCCATACTGTGCACAGGCACTATACCAGAGGCTGACCGTGCATGGGTATGCCAAATGTAACAGAAGAGGGAGGGGAAGGAATGGCTAACTCCAGTGAAAAGAAAGGTCCAGTTTCCTAAGAACAGCCTAGCTGATCATAGACTGATCGCTCAAAGGAATGCAGACGTGGTGAAGTGCTGTCACACCCCTCCTTCATCCGGAACCCTCTTGTTTCTCTTTCAATGTGTCCTGGAATACACAATGGAATACAGGTGTGCAGAGTACTCAGAGATGTCAGCTGGGCTGCCCACATTCACATGATACTGTTCAGGAAGAACGTGTACTGATCTGTGGACAAAAGACCACACCCTGAGACCAGACAGCGAGGACAGAAGAAACAGGTTGTTTTTTTGTTTTTTTTTTTTCTTTATATATCCTGGTTTTTGTATATGTGTGTGAAGAGGTCAAAGTTTGATGTCAGCAGACTTGCTCTATCACTCTCACCTTATCTTTTGAGACAGGATCTCTCACTAAACCCAGAGCTCACTGACTGGCTAGGCAACAAGCCCAGGATCTTCCTGTAACCCCAGGGTTAGAGATATACACAACCATGTTCAACTTTTCTAGATGGGTTCTAAGGTTCCAAACTCAGGTCCTCTGTTTATACAGAAGGCACTTTACTGACTGAGCCAGCTCCTTAAGCTGAAATATGGGTTTTAAATAGAAGCTGTTTCCTCTAGGTTTCCAAAAGTGAAACCAGGGCCTAATGTTTGCTTCTTGTTACATGTAGATCATTTATATACAAGGTAACTGAAACCCCAGGGGGTGGAGTGGCGTGTCCCAAATCACCCAACCAGTAGAAACACTATCCGGATTCAGTGTCCGGCACTGGCATTGTGGGAGCTTTACCATTATGACCCTGGGGGAAGGAGAAGATGGTGGTTGCTCCCTTGAAGGATGGCTTTGACTAGGACAGAAAGCTAGCTTCCGCCCGAGAAACGGCCCTTTCCTAAGCATCCTAGACAGTTGAGATTCATCACAGGACCAAAAACCTACAAGAGAAGAGCCCAAGAGGATACTGTCCACTGGAGGTAGAAGCCCACGGGCAATAAGGACCAACTACAATGATACCCTCCACTCCATAGGTCATGATGCATCACCAGGGACCATAATTTGGATCCAAATAGAGTCCAAACAAGAACGGGAGAAGTAGAGACATGGAGGAAAGCAACAGTGGTCAGAAACCCAACAACCAAGAAAGGAAAAGAAGAGAGACAGGGACAGTGGGAGGCAAGTGTCTACATGTAGGTACCATGTGCCCTACACAGAGGATGAAGGTGTGGCTCAGTGATACAGTGCTTGCTTAGCATGTGGAAGGCCCTAGAAAAGAAAGGGAAAAAAAGAAAAGAAAAGTAGAGGAAAGAGGAGGGCAGCAGCAGGGGCAGAGACTTGACCTTGGCCCCCAGCCTTCTTTAGTGGCTCAAATGGAATGAAATGAGGTTTCCATGGTATACACTATTCAGTCTCTAAGAATTTGTCATCTTATACTCGCTGAAGGTAGTGTAATAAATATTTCTGGATGGCAACAATGACAGCTACTCATTTAAAATCAGCTCAACCGTATGCCTATTCCTGTGGTTAATTTGTTTTGTTTGTCCTCAAAATCGCCCTTTCATAGAACTCCTGCATCACAAGAACAGAATCAAATCACGGGAAGGCTTAGATTTGCAATACAGCTAGAGTTGCATTTCATATCTAGTTTCTCAGAACTAATCAGTTTTATTGTAAAAGGAGGGTGGGGATGGATCTAGCTATAGACGGAGGAAGATGGATGCAGCCCAGGGAATGATTATACAAAACAGTCCCAGAAGCTTTGACGGCTTAGATGCTCATTAAAGAAATGGATGGAGTTGGTTTAAAAAAAAAATAGTTTCAGCTCCTCCTAACTCCCTCAAACCGGATAAAGAAAAATGAGGGGGCTATTTCCACTCCTTTTTGGAAATGCATGGAAATGTATCCCCAGACAATCTGGCCAGCAATGCCCCCTTGGTAATTCCTATAGAATGCAAATGCAGGCACCTTCTCTGACTCCTAGGAGGCACACCAATTATAATTTGGGGTTCATTCATTCCACAATTACTGGTGGTTAATTTTTCTTTTTTTTTTTTTTTTTTTTTGGTTTTTTTTAGACAGGGTCTCCCTGTAGCCCCAGCTGTCCAGGAACTATGTAGACCAAGCTGGCTTTGAACTCACAGAGATCCACCTGCCTCTGCCTCCCGAGTGGAGTGCTAGGATTAAAGGTGTGCGCCACCACGCCCAGCCTATTGGTGGTTAATTTTAAGAATTTCAAACCAGCACACCCAGTTGGATACTGCAAACCAGGTGGAGATTCTTAATTATCTACTCAGGGATTTGTATTTAAATATTTGTTTTGTATTCCAGGCTAAAGTTTCTTAACCATAAATAGTAAATCCATGTACCTACTCTTTTCTCCTTAATACATTGTACTTAAGATTAAGTACTAATACTATTGTACAGGAACATAAATTAATATAGACATTATGGAAAACAGCACAGTGGTTCTTCAAAAGAGTAGAAACAACTACCATATGGCCTAGCAATCCCATCATCAAGTAAATATCCAAAAACACTTATATTCGTATGTCGGAAAATTGTACACTCACATGCCCACTGAGGCACTGTTTACAACAGCCAGGATATGGACTCCATGCCCACTGACAGATGAATACATCAAGAAAATGTGACGGATGGGCTGAGGAGGTAAAGGCTTGCCATGCAAGCAGGACGACCAGAGTTTGGATCCCC